TGCTTCCCAGCTTATGCTTGCCAGTTACTGGACCAGGCTGACCCTTGTCTTCATCTTGGCAGCTACCTTCTTCAGATGGTTGTGGAACGTTAGCATGCAATCAAGCTTCACTACAAGATAGGTCAGAGTGTGGTCATGTCGCACAGCGTGGCCACAGAAGGTCAATTTTAGGATGCGCTTAGCGTTCCTGTTATCAAGATGGAATGCAGTGACTACTGTTTTGTGAGGATTTGTCTTGAGCCTCCATTTCTGGAACTATTCCTCCCTGGGTTTAGGTCTCTGGTCAAGGTGGACTCGATGTCACCGAAGTTGGCTGCTTGCATTGCCAGGCGAGGTCATCCGCCTATGCAAATTTGGAGGCACGTTGCTCGTGCAAACATTAAAAAGCATTGGCTCGAGTACTGGGCCTTGTGGCAGTCCATTGGTGAGGAACTAGGGTGAACTGACTTCGTTGCCCAAGTGGACACATAGCCACCTATTGCTCAGCATTGTCCATAGCAGGCATGGTGTTTTGCGGCAGGGGATGATCCTTGCAAGCTTCAGCATCAAGCCCTAAATCCAGACTCTGTCGTAGGCCGATGACAGGTCTACAAAGGTTGTGTCGGTCTTAAATTTCCTCTGGAATCTGGCCTTGATATTTTTAAAAAAAGAGTACAGCAGACTGCTGGTTGATCTGAAGAAAGGAGAAGCAAAGAATGGTATCATACCACTAATGATAATTATCCTTAAAAAAACCCAAAATGAATGGAAGTTAGTTCTACATGGGACCCATTTTACTCTTATCGTGGAAAGCTACAGAAGAGCTCCTGAGCCTACTTTAAATCTTAAGCTAGACCTTTCACTTGAGCTATTGAAAGCTACAAGATTCTTTGCTCTTGAGAAAGAAAAGAGTCAGTTTTTCCAGGACTCTGTGAGTTTTCATACCTTTACTAGAGACATCAAGCTTTCCACTTCCATCTCCACAGTGTGTTGAAAGTTGATTCAAATGCTGTTAATAGAGCCATATGAACACTGGACAGTAGTTAACAGTAACAAACAGGGCTTATACACACTAGTGCTTACTTCACTATAATATAAATTGCTCAGGGTTGTGGAAAAGCCACCTCCCTGGGCAATGTAAGTTACACCGACTTAAGCATTGGTGTGGACAGTGCTAGGTTGGTGGGAGAATTTCTCCCGCTGATGCCACTCGGGGAGGTGGAGTAATTGTGCCGATAGAAGAGCTCTCTCCCGTCAGCACAGAGCGTCTGCACTAGCAGTGCTACAGCAGTGCAGCTACATCGGTACAGCTGAGCCAGTGTCATGATTCTAGAGTAGACTAGCCCACAGTCACCCAACATATTAGGAAAAAGGGAACTAATGATCTTTCATTTGAACTGTTACCTGTAAAGGAAAGTTCAGGCAGCACTTCTCAGACGAAATAAAAGGTAAGTCTAATGTGCTACAGCAAGGGCTATAGGTAATTAGGCACTATAAGTATGAAACTTACAAAAAAAAATTGTTCTTTGTTACCCTTTTTCCCTGGTTAACTTATTCTGTATTTCATCTTTTAAATAAAAAAATAACCTCTTATTGCACAACTTTGTCCCTTAGGTCAGACTGCCTGAGGTGTTTTCTGAAAAAAACACCCATTACATTTGACAAATATGCTCCTAAATATACGTAGATTAGAAATATAAATATTTTTATTGCAATTAAATAACATTTTTTATAATCTAGGTTAGCTCCAGAAAGATTTTAAATAAAAATATTAACTCTGTTTTCCATAAATGCCCAGAATAAATATTGATTGCATTCTCTCCATATGCCAAGGATGACGAATAAATGGATTCTGACTGCTTTTCTACAATCAAGTGGTTGTCTACTAAACATTACATATGAATGAGCCTGTGCACTGTTAATTTAATGTTGGATATTTAAATATAAAATAGCCGGTTGACTTTTGAATTTTGAGAGGTATTCTTATTAAGCGTTGAGATGTTGGAGCTGAGCAACACTTTTAGAGCTCCTGGTTTCTCTGCAGTCAGTGTTGCAATTGTGAGAATTAAACACAGTTACATTATTGTCAATGAGACTTAACTCCATATTACACTGAGCAAATGTTTTGCTTTGAAATGTTTGGAATACCAAAACAGTATTTTCCATTTTATAAAGTAACATCTTGCAACATTACAGTTGCAGAAATAAAACTGATTTTCTTATATATTCAAAGAGGATGAAAAAAGAATTAAAAACTAGCCAAAATATTTTTAGACCATCATTAGCTAATAACCACCTAAAATGTTTTCGTCCAAACTCTATCAACATTTCCTCCCAGGCTGAGAACTTCCATGCTATGCAAATAGATCATGTATAGGCTGAAGGGGTTGTGTATTTTGTATATTCCACAGTCATTTGTTTTTCTATGTTCATATGGAAATTTGGCCTTGTTTTTGGAAGAAAATTGGCAGTGTGTTGATTGGTAGTGGTGGGGAAAGGACCAAAAAGCCATAGATACAGGAAATTAGTATCAGATAAATTGGTGACTCAGAATAGTAGGAGAAATTAAGAACATAAGAATGGCCACACTGGGTTAGACCAAAGGTACATCCAGCCTAGTATCCTGTCTTCCGACAGTGGCCAATGCCAGGTGTCCCAGAGGGAGTGAACCTAACAGGTAATGATCAAGTGATCTCTCTCCTGCCATCCATCTCCACCCTCTGACAAACAGAGGCTAGGGACACCATTCCTTACCCTTCCTGGCTAATAGCCATTAATGGACTTAACCTCCATGAATTTATCTAGTTCTCTTTTAAACCCTGTTATAGTCCTAGCCTTCACAACCTTCTCAGGCAAGGAGTTCCACAGGTTGACTGGCTATAAAAAGATAGGGCTATAAAAAGAGTATACCTTAATGCCTTGTTGGTTATTTGTAAGAAAACAACATTATGGATGCACAATAGAATCTCCATGGTTAAGGTTGTTTTCGGTTTTCCACTTAAAGCAGATATTCAGTGTCTTTGTTCTGTAGAAAGAATACAGTGTATCTGCCCTAAATTTACAACATATAATCTGTGAGCAAAGATTTATTCTTCTAGGGATTTTCAAGTAAATCTGTTAATTATTTGAGTAAAAATTAATTAAATTTGGTCCTTTAAGTTTACTTTGAGTCTCATGATTTTTATACTCTGCATACAATTACTAATTTGAAAGGGGCACTTTTTTAGCAACATCTAAGGGAAAAACTATTTCCTGAGTTTACAACTAGGTTAATTTTTGCGATATTGACAATACTCCTCATAACTGACTGACTGTTTCTTCATCACATATATTTTTAGTTCACATTTATACACCAGAATCTGGGCTTTTGTTTAAAATAATTTTATTTGTGGCCTTTGTGGTTTTGAAGAAAATCTTGAAAACCTGAACTGAGAGTTTTATTTGCTGGCTCGCCCTGTAATTTTTTTTTATTATTATTTTTTTATTTTCTGGCTGGCATAAACTCATTTAATAAAAACCAGAATCTTTGTGAATGTGCACCTCCATCTTAGGGGCCCATGTTGTTCTTCATTAAAGTAGCCTTTGTGGTCAGAGATCCTTCCTAAAACTAAGAAGCTCAGAAGTTTATACATAGAATCACTACTTTGTGTATCAGTTAAGGTTGCTGCACATGTAACACACAACCTCTGAAGCAAGGATATGAAAATGAAGACACTTAATGATCCATACCCTCTCCTCCTCTACTCAGAGATGCTGCCTCACCGACTGCACAACCACCAGACATCACAGACAATGTATCACAATCTTAATTCTGCGCAGTAGGGATGCTGGCATTTCATCACTCCTTTCCCCAAACTTGAGTGAGATTTCCCAGAACTGTGCAGAGCTTCAGTAGAGGATGGGAAGAAATCTGGTCTTGCTTAACTGTGAGCATGTGTTTAAGTCCTGTTATCGTCAGGGACTCTTAAATGCATGTTCAAGTGCTATCCTAAATAGGGATGCTTTCTTGAGTTGGGGCCTAAATTATTTTGCTTGAATGTCCTGGTGTTCTGTTTCTCTATTTAGTAATTTCTACCTTACTGGTACTCGTGATTGCTGTTATAATAAAATGTGATTTCCTTCTCTTTACTTTTAGGGAACAGCTCTGATCTCAGTTATTTTACATCACACACAGTGATGCATACTTTAGCATCTGAGATTAGAATTGCACTTAATGGGTAAATATAAAATACAGCAAAAACAACATGTAGGGCTTTAAATACAGAATTCCTATGGATTATAACGATGGTAAAATGACTGAAATTCCATGCAATTCCTCAGAAGATTTCCCCTTAAGTATTTTATTGTCCAATATTTTATTATGATTAAAAATGTTTCTCAAGTGACTTAGCGATTTTATTTTTTTTCATCCTTTACAGAGCAATGTTGAACTTTCAGAAGTAAATAAAATAATGTCTGTTTTAAGTTACTGTTTGTTAAACACTTTCATATTGCATGATTTTACTTTGGAACCAAATAAAATATGCATCCATACCTTTTTGAACAGGGTCCTAGCTTGTAGGTATATACCTACAAAAGAGTTTTATTTTCTTTGGCAATTATTTTTAATGTAGCTGCACTTATAGCCCCTGTCAGGATCGGGGTCCCAATGAATTAGATGCTGTACAAACCTCTAGGACAATGTGTTCTCTGCTCTGAAGATCTTGCAATCTTAGGGCCTGATCCAAAGCCCATTGTATTCAATAGGAGCCTTCCAGTTGACTTCAGCAGGTCCCCTAAGCGCTTATAATATTGTACTGGCATATTAATATATTGCAGCATTAGATAAGGTTTATACCACTTAATTAGTAATGTTGAGTGTATGTATTGTACTGTTGAAATTTCTTGATAATTGATTGTGTTATTTTTCATTCCTCTTTTCAATTAAAATACCTTTTGGAATCATTTCAGCAGATTGTGTTTTCATTTGGTAGTCATATTATTTTTAGTATTTATTAATGTATTTTATGTCTCTGTTCCAGGATATTGATGAATGGAATATTGCCCATCTCAATACAATATTGGACGTTGTGGGTGAAGACTGTGGAATTTCTATTGAGGGTGTAAATACCCCATATCTCTATTTTGGCATGTGGAAAACAACATTTGCATGGCACACTGAAGATATGGATCTCTACAGTATTAATTATCTCCACTTTGGAGAGCCGAAGTCATGGCAAGTTTAATTTTTTTTAATTAAAGCTCATTTTGAAAGATGTTTCTTTTTTGTTTCAGCTGACTAAAGCAAACAGATGAGGTAGAAATACTTCATGGTGAGGAGCTCCATTTAAAAAAACAAGATAGGAGTGATTTGGTGGGCAGCTCAGAAAGTAATGAAATTTGAGTCTTGTGTTTGAAGGAGAATGGCCTTAATATAAACTGCTCCTTTTAAAGGAAATGGCTAAAAAGAAAAATAATCTGGGACTCAACTGAGTTCAACAGAAAAAACAACGAATAGTTAAACAGGCATTACTTGAATCAGGAAATCCAGGATACTATTTGAGAGAACTCTTATTAGGGCCTCATTGAAATCATTGGGACAGATTTGGTGTCTTAAGCCCACGTGAGCAAAGTACATAAGCATGTAGTTCATTTAAATGTATAACCAGACCTCTGAAGTCAATGAGTTTGCTTAAGTGCTTAACATTAAGCATGTGCTTAAGTGTTCTATTCAATTATGTCTGTATTATCTACTGCAGGGGTAGGTAACCTATGGCACGCATGCCGAAGGCGGCACACGAGCTGATTTTCAGTGGCACTCTGCCCAGGTCCTGGCCACTGGTCTGGGGGCTCTGCATTTTAATTTAATTTTAAATGAAGCTTCTTAAACATTTTAAAAACCTTATTTACTTTACATAAAACAATAGTTTAGTTATATATTACAGGCTTATAGAAAGAGACCTTCTAAAAACATTTAAAATGTATTACTGGCACACGAAACCTTAAATTAGAGTGAATAAATGAAGACTCGGCACGCCACTTCTGAAACATTGCTGACCCTGATCTACTGCTACACAGCAGACTCCACATGAGTGGAGACTGAATGATCAAGGTACATCTTAACTGTGATGCCCACAGCCAGAGAGGTTCTCTCTCCTGGACTGTTAACTGGACAGCATTATGGTAGTGTGAGGAGACAACTAGTCAACTTGCTATGTAGTGGAAGTCTAAGGTGCCGTGGGGGGGTGTGTGTGTGTGTGTGTGTAAGAGAGAGAGAGACTTTACATTTTTCACTCTGATTATCAGAAAATGATTTTTAGTTGAAAATACTGGTGACCAGAAAGGTGATGGAGATAATTCATATTATGTTATGTTGGTTGCTTTATCATCTGCTAAAGCTGCACATAATGCATGTCATCCCTATGTAGGTGCCGATTTATTTCTGGTCATCCAGTTATGATGATGGGAATGTTTGCAGGTGATGTTCACTAATGGTGTTACTCAAATTATGTCCATGCATTCGGTCACTTTTGAATAGAAGAAAGAACTGTGACATTTTAAATATGTAAGCTGGCAAACTGATCAACTTACTAAAAATATTGCAAAAGCACAGTAGGAAAAGCAATGTTTTCTAGATTCTAGTTCTAGTCTAAATGCTTTGCATTTAAATACAAGACAGTAGAGCTCTCATTACACTTTGTGATAATATTGAGAAAGTAAAGAGGACCAGGACCATAACTTCAAATCATGTGAGTAGCATATATCTGAGTTTTGCATCATTGAATAGTACATTTTGTTGGAAATGATTGGTTTTATAAATTCAAGTATATTATGATTTCACTGTAGGAAAAAAAGATGAACTTTTCAAATACAGCATTGATGTATTGATATATTTAAAAACTACCTAAATAGGCAGCTCTCCTTTAAACACAAAGTTTTTATGTTCGATCCCAAGAAATATGAAAGTAATTTAGTAAGCAATTTTGCAAAACACTTAATATTGTAAAATTCCGACCAGCAAAGACACTTACTTAATCCTCATAGAACATGGACATGTTCTGGCAAGAATTTAGCAAAGTTCTGATTAGTGCGTTTTAAAGTATTTTAAAGCAAGTTTTAAGATATTTGTGCTGAATGCCCCTCTAGTCTACAAATAGGTTTTGAGTCTTCCAAATAACTAAATAAAATTTAAAAAAGAAATCTATTTGAGTGACCCCTAAGGAGGAATAGTGGACACTAAGCACTTTGTAATTTTATAAATTTTCACACTGTCAAGTCAGATTTGGCTCAGAATTAGGCCTTATCGAGAGAGGGAAGACCCAAAGAAGTGTTTCCACTTAATTTTTTTGTATTTCCAGTGGAAAATAAATATTCCTTGCACTGTTTGCAACTCAGACACTGAAGCATTTAGCTACTGTATAGAAACCTGAACATGCATTGACTAGAAACGGTTGAGCCTGTTTTCACATTCTGAAGTGAAATTTAATACTAGTATAAGTAGTTAAACGTTTATTAGATTTTTCAAATTCTTTCAATTTTAATAATCTCAGCATTTATAAAATGGGTAAGGATTTTATTTTTTTAAGCATGTGCTCTTTAACCTGATTGTTAGGCACTGCTATCATAAGACATAGTAGAAAATAATTTTGAGATGATGTAATTTTCAACAGAACAGAAATTCTTAGTTTTTGTTTGGAATCAGAACAAAACTCCCAAATTTCAATATTTTTTTTTAATTGAAAAGTCTGAACAATTTCAGTTCTGAAATATCAAGAAGTTTCATTTTGATAATATTGAAGCATTTTGTTTTGATAAGGTAAAATGTTTCATTTCAATAATGTTGAAAGTCTCTCTATAAAATATTAAATATAACACACATAAATAGTACTAAATATAAATCTAATATATTAAATTAATATTTTAATTCAATAGCTAAAATAATGAAGTCACAATACAATTTTTTTACTTTAGTGAAACATTTTGACCTCCACAATGATTTGTTTAAACTGTTTCCCATTGAAAATTCTGTCAAAATCCACGTTTCCATTTCAACTAAACTACATTTTTTGATGGAAAACTGTTCCACTGAAACATTTTCAAACAATTCTAATTACCATTTAGTTAATATAAAAAAAATTGTTAAAGAGTTTCACAAATGGGAGCTAGGCACTCAACTCCCACTGATTTTTTTTTTTTCCATTGAGAGTTGAGTAGCTAACTGCCCTTTCTAACTTTGAAAATCTCCCCTCCAAAATACATTGTGTATTGCAATTATATGGTAAATGGAGACCGTTTATAAATCAAAGAAAAATATTTAGTTTCTTGATCATTCTTTGAGCATAAGTACTTAATAGAGCCACATTAATTTTATAACAAAATGTATTTACGTTAAATTTAAGTACAGTTAAGTTCAGTAAATATTAAAAGCTGAAGGCATTTTGACAGCCATAATTAGATGATGCTCAGCTGCATCAGAAGTACTACAAAATGAACTGTAATGACAGTTGACTCATTTGGTTGCTGAGCAACAGAAGGCGCAGATCATGACACTGACAAATGCCTGTGTTAGTGTAATAGTTTAGACTGAAAGCCATGAAATGGAGGAAGTAGATGGGCCTAGAATGAAGGGGTCACAGTTTAGAGGGCCCCTGCATCTGTATTCCCTCTCTGAGGTCCCTCAAGGGTATCCACTTAAAGGTTACCGGCTCCTAGCAGTCTTCTCTCTTGGGCTGACACTCATCTCTCTCTCTCTCTCTCTCTCTCTCCAGCCTGACTGGAGGTTTTGAAGGCTGCTCAAAGTTTTGAACATAATTTTAAGGGTTCAATTAAATCTCTCAAGAGCCCTTAAGTCTGGGGGTGGTAAGAATATGAACAAAATTGTTGAACCCCACATTTCTCTCGTAGTCCTTCATGCAGATCAGGCATAAAGTTTCCCCCCTGATCAGTCAGAATCTCACAGGGAAACACCATCTGGCTCAATAATGCTAGCAAAGCCACCTTGTTTACCTCCATAGAGGATAGAGCTACGAGTTCTGGGTATCGGGTGGCACAATCTGTTATCACCAGAATATACTTTATCCTGTCCAGGTAATTTTGCTAAGGAGCCTTTCTCCAGCCCACCACTTAATTCACAGATCACTAGCAACTGCTACTTTGGTGAATCTAAGACTGAAAAAATAATTTACTAAGATGAGCCATGTTAAGATGCATCTTGGCTTTGAATTGTGACAAGAGAGCCTTCTATATCTTCCAAGGGCCAAGACTGACAGAGATTACGGAACTAGCATGCCTCAAATATGCTGACCACAATGGCAGCAATTGGGGAATGTGGAGCTAATTTCTGAAAGTATCCTGTGGATAAATACTGCACCCTATTCATTATACAGTTCAATTCTCAATATTTATGCAAACAAGAGTGTCTCTGTAAATTGTATATCTTGATTCCACAACTGCAGTTGCCATACCCGCGTGGAGCCCAGTGGGGCTCTGTGCAGGAACAGGTCTGTGTGCCACACCTAGTCAGTTGCAAGATCAGGGCCATAATGAATGTGTGTGAGTGTTTAAATGTGTAATATTTCTTTTTGGAGTTATTTTTTGCTTTAGTATCTGTAATGCCTGAGAATTATTGTCCAACACAGACAATAATTTGAAGGGAAATGAGTAAAGAGTGGAAAATTAAAGAAAACATGGGAACAGTGCAGCAGCTGGGGGAAAGAAAAAGATAGTGAGGGGACAGTTACTAGTTTTGAGGGTATGATTTATTATTACAATTAATTTTCTGTGCTAGTAGTTTGATTTTTATTACCATAAGTTTTCCTTTGCATTCTTTTCTGAAAAAAATGTGGAATTCTATAAAATGGTTATTTTACTGTAAATTTATATTCATGACAATTATTTAAACAGTGCTTTGTTCTATTTTTTGATTTTTCTTGTAGAACATTCTTAGTTATCTAGCAAAGTTGTTTGAATGGGTTACTTAGCCCATATATTTAAGGGAGTGGCTTGGTGACTTTGAGTTCACAACAGTTTGTGTTGGATACTTGTTCACATTACAAAAGGCCTTTTCTGCTGGCTGTTGTAAGGTGTTTTTATCTCCCCCTCTCCCCCCCCCTCGGTCTGGTTAATATTTTTAGGTTACAGGATAAAGCTGATGCACAGGATGGTATGCTGGGAGGATTTGTGTCTTGACTAATAAATTGAGAAATTTTGCTCATGGCCTAAGTATTGAACTGCGCT